TTTTCCTCGATGGTTCATCTTTCACCGGCCCAGTCCTAGGGCGTTATCCGCCCCGGGGCTCCTGTCCTGTCCCCATCTAGACCGTTTTGCCAATAGGGCTTGGCTTGGGGGTCGCCGAAATGTTTACGATAACGCCAATCCCTACCAAAGGGACAGGATTGGCGAGTGAAACGACAAGTGTCAGCACCAAACTGCATAGTACTCCCTTGTCTACGTATACCCTTGCCCGAAGGTGGCCTGGGTATGCCAGAGTGGCTTACAGCCGGCTTAGCCAAGGCCACGGCTATCAGCCCGTGAGACTGATTAGATCTCAAGTAGGTACCGAGGGCAGAGTCGACTTGGAGAGAAGGGTCCGTGTCCCGCAGGCGGGTAACTCCTTGTGGCAAGGCTAACCTGTAACCCTTATCATACTCGACTGCTGCCTCAAACGAACGGGACTTCGCTAACCAAAGCAACCGGCTCAGATAATCCTGGCCAGCAAGGAAATCGCACCCAGAGAAGACTGTGATGCATACAACCCACTGCTGCACACACATCAACCATTCAAAGCAATCCTTGGGGTTGCGGTTCTTGGCGGCAATGGTTCGGTTCTTCTCACCCGACCTGGTCTCAAAGGGTATGGCGGCATTCCGAGCGCCGGTATCGTATACCTTAAGTTCTATATACTAAAGAGGGTCATGCCGTAGGCGGTCGACCATAGGGATAGGAGGGCATAGATGGTCACTCGGAATATGTCCCAATGCCTGCATATAGCGAGCAGCGAAGACCGACCACCCTTTGTCGCCTACGGTTAGCTCAGATTGATTTTTCATCTTTTTGACCACCGTAATGAACATGGCTTTGAACCGAGCCTTCCTCAGCTTTGAGAATATCTCGACCACGACGACACCGTCCCACCACCACCACCGCGGTTTTTGTTGGCGTCGACGACTTCGCTGGCAGTACCGGGACTTTTGGAGGATGAGCTGGCAGACTTCGCATCAGCTACCTCCGTCATAGTGGTTGTGTCGGACTCTCCGTCGGGTCCCCCATCTGCACACCTTCTCAATAGTTCGTCGGTCAGCTCCTTGTCCTCGAGGGCCGCCTCGAGCACACCCACGGTACTAATACCCATGTCAACACAAACCGTCGACGCTTTTTCGGCCAAGTCGGGAAAAAATTCGTGGAAGAGTTCGGGCGTGATGGGAGTGGTGGACATATACAAATAATCTGCGACCAGCTCGTGTAAATCGGAGCATGACTCAACACTTGCATAGCTAGATCCTGTCTAGCCTGGCACGCTAAGCTCAAGTCCGCAGCTTGGTAAGGAACACAGTGTTGCCTGGCTCTCCCTAGAGTGATGAGAGATTGAGCGGACACGCAGGCAAGTCGACGAGTGGTCAGCCACGCGAGGCGGCCGTCCTAAACCCGTAGAGCCACTCTAGCCCGATCAACTCTGGGTATCTAGCTCAGACAGGGAGACGCACAGAACCCAGGTCTCATGATGAGACTAACATCCCGGCAGGGCTACTACTCGAGACCACCTCGAGAGTCACGACAGGCTCCGCT